CTGAGGGGAGGACGCGACCGGGGAGCGCTCGGTGTGGAGAACGTAGAGACCGGAGCGGGGCTCCCTGGTGAACGTGGCCAGAACAGCACCTGTGGTAGCGTCAGTACAGACTGCAGTCCGACCCCCCCCCACAAAGGTAACGGTGATCCCCCTGTCCTGGAGGTATCCAACACCCACCAAGTTCCGAGTGAACGAGGGGATGTGGAGGCCGCGCAAGACACCAGAGGGGACCACAGGGCACGGGAGGGTGGTGGAGCTGCGCGCAACGGCTGGTCCTGAAGAAGGATCAGCCAAAGCTACCGGAACCGGAGCAAGAAGTGGTGTGAGGATCGTGTGGTCGCGGAAGAAACACTGCGACGCGCCAGAGTCCAGCGTGAACGACAGAGACGCCTCAGCCGGAGGCGTGTCAGGTCCGGAGGCTACACAAGCACCTAGAGCAGAAACACAAGCACCTAGACTAGAGAGGCACAGGTCTACACTAACAGGAGGCAAGCATCCTAGACTACGAACACGCGAGCACACAAATCCATCAGCACTATAGTCAACATCAGCATACAAAGCATATTGACGAGCATCGTCCATAGACAGTTCAAATACAGGAATCTTACGGGCTAGCAGGCGAGCCCAGCGCGGGGTGGTCGCCTCAGGACCCCAGCGTGCACGGTAGAGGTCGTCGAGGCGGCGGAAGCACCGCGCTGCAGAGTGGTCGTCGCGGCCGCAGACACAGGGACTGCCAGGTCCGGTGACGCACCAGTGGTCGCAGGGGCCGGTGTCGCGCCGCGGGGGGCGAGGGGCCCAGCTGGTAGTGCTGCTGCTGCGGCCAGTGCTCCCGGGTCCTCAAGGTCCCCACTGTGGCGGAGGGCCCCAGTGCTGCTGCGGACCCCACTGCAGTGGGGGTCCCCACGTCTGAAACTGCTGTGGTGCCTGCCACTGCTGCTGTCCCTGGTGCAGCTGCTGTCTCTGCTGTGGCTGCTGCTGCTGGGGCCCCGCACCACCGCTGGTCGAACCTCCTCCAGCAGGTGGGTCAGCACCTCCTCCAGAGCTCCCTCCGCCTGGGGCACCACCGCCACCACTGCCGCCCCCAGGGCCGCCTCCACCACCGCCACCTCCTCCACCGCCGCCACCCCCCTTCCCCCCTTTCTTGCCCCCCTTGCCCCGTTTCTGCCTGTCAGCGGCAGAAACAGCTGCAGTGTCCTCAGAAACCGACACAGCAGCAGAGGCACGTGTAGCAGTGAAGGTAGGAAGCTGGGGGACAGCACACCCCTCAAACAAACGAGGGGCAACTGCGTCAGTGGCTGAGGCAATAGAGAGGAGGTTACTCTCGATCTTCCCGAGAGTGGTCTCGAGAAGATCAATCGTAAGCTCACTGGGGTGATGCTGGAGAAGTGCGTCACGGGCAGTGGAGAGGCGGTCAGGGAGACGAGTGACTACCCAGTGGACTGTGAGCCAAATAGGAGGAGGAGCAACAAGAAGCTGAGCCTCAGTGCAAGCTGCTCGGTAGCTAGCGACAAGGGAGCGCAAGTGTGTGGCTAGGTCAGAGACAGTCGCAAAAGAGCCGAGGTCGGGAAACACGAACGGCATGAGGATGCGGCTGAGGGAGGCAGAGGAAGGGGTGGAATAGCGTGCAGAAATAGCATCATACACCTCCTTCGCAGTCTCTACCAGGTCGAAGTGAGCGGCCTCAGTCGGTGGAAGGAGCTCGGTCAGCGCGAGTGCAGCCGCAGCGTCACGGGAGTCCCAAACGTCCCGCGCCAAGACGAGACGAGCGTAGTCCGCCTGTGCCTCCGGAGTCGGGGGGGGCACGGCAGGGAGGGCCTCGGGACGCGGTGGTGCCTGGAGGGCGCCGGACGCGTGGGCGTACAGGGTGGCGCCGTCCTGGCGCTGACTGGTGAGATAGCGCTGAGTCTGGCGGAGCCAGGTGCCGAACTCTATCGGGCGCCCCTCTGCATCGAAACGAAGGCGGCGGGAGGAGTCCATATTGGACGCTAGGCTAGGAACAGCTGGAGCACGGAGCAAACGGAGCCAGGAGCGAGGAGCGCCAGGTGGGACTAGGCGAGGTACTGCTGGAGCACGGAGGAAAACTGAGCTAGGAACGCCAGTCTAGTAACGAACGGAGCTGGGAGTTAGCTGAGCTAGGAGCACACGGCTGGAGGAGGCAGGGCTGACGAGCCGATCGAGGAGCCAGAGAGTCGTTCGAGGGGCTGGCGGAGCGAGGAGAGACCTAGCTAACAACGAACGTCAGGACTAGCCTAAACAGCTAAGCGGAGCGGCCTCCAGCCACGACGGTGCGAAACACTGTGAGTAAGAGTGACGCGAGTGTCGAACCAACGGAGGTCGGGTGGTCCTGGGTGGTGTGCGCGCGTGATAAGGGGATGTGAGCGGTTGGAAGGGGCTGTGAGCGGTTGGAAGGGGCTGTGAGCGGTTGGAACGGGCTGTGAGCGGTTGGAAGGGGCTGTAAGCGGTTGGAAGGGGCTGTGAGCGGTTGAAAGGGGCTGTGGGCGGGTGGGAGGGGCTAGCTGGCGCCAGCTGCTGGCGGCTAGGTTCCGGTGGCTAGCTGCTGCTGGCGGCTAGCTTCTGCCTAGCCGTGCTGCTGCTGCAGGAGCATGCGCTGCTGCCTAGCCGTGCTGCTGCTGCAATGCACACGCTGCTGCCTAGCCGTGCTGCTGCTGCAATGCACGCGCTGCTGCCTAGCCGTGCTGCTGCTGCAATGCACGCGCTGCTGCCTAGCCGTGCTGCTGCAGCAATGCACGCGCTGCTGCTGCAATGCGCGTGCTGCAGTGGCGTGCGCGGCTGCCGCTGGCTAACGCGCGCGCTGCTGCGGGCTAAGAACGACTACGCGGGCCCGCGGGGGGGGGGGGGGGGGAGTCCCTTCTGGAGCGCGACGAAACGAGGGGTCAGCGGGGCCCTTTAAACGCGACGAAAAACGAGGCCCGCGGGGGCCCTTAAACGCGACGAAAACGAGGCCCGCGGGGGCCCTTAAACGCGACGAAAAAGAGGCCCGCGGGGGCCGTCCTACCCGCGACGAAACGGGGCCTAAGGGACGGGCGCCTCGGGACCGGCTAAGGGAGGGAGCGGAAGCGTGGGAGGGAGTAAAAACCTACTCTAATACCATCTTAAAATAGGCTAGGAGACAAGTGTCGAGAGTGATGATTGAGTAAGGAGAGACAAGGAGATACAAATGTCGACCTAAAGTGTTGTACCCTTTAGAGGGCAACTCACTGTAGCCTATCTAACAATATATAGAATATATAACATTTGACACAGGGCCCAGGTACAGGGCATGGTGGCTGGGTTATGTAACTTATCTAGAGCGTTCAACTCCTTGGTTTCGTGGTTAATTTGTCAATCGGTTCATTGCAGTGTTTTGAAGTTGAAATGTTAGACTACTTGTCGCCAATATTGTATTTATTTCTTGCTAATATATATATTCAGCCGTGGCTAATTCTTTGTGACTTGGATGGTATAGATTTTTAGTAGTGCTGACAACGCAGATGGGAATGGGTGAGTGTTGATGTGGTTCTAAGTGTCAGGGGAGTGCAAGCACAGCGTAAATATCGACCTCCTAGCAATTCACGCCGCGCCACATCAGCTCTTGCTCACACATCGTCTTGAACAGCGAAGCAGAAACCACACCGGAGACGAATCACAATTCAGAAGACTCCTTCAGCTCAGCATGACTGGGTGGCGTGGCGCGTCGCGATTCCCCCAACCACACGTGATGTTGCGCTCTTCCGCGTCTCCCTCCTTGTCCAGCATTTGAGAGAGATTTACTGTAGAACCTGGATCGGTGATTCATCCTTACTCGCGTGGCCTTGAATTACTCGAGTGGCCACCGAATTTGGTGATAATTACTCGAGTGGCCACGCCAGGGGATTTCCGATGGCCTTTTTTTTTCCCGGCGCATTACCCTACAAAAGCTCATATCCCCGAAACCTATGTATTGATGATTGCGCGATTTTCAATTTACGCGATGATTTATAATGGATGTTTTCGCGTGATGATTTATATTAGAAATTTATGTTCGTGACTCTATATGACCGCGCCTGATTGGACGTGCATTTAGTCGACCAATCATGCGCGGTCATTAATGGTCGGGCACATCATATATTTATGTCCGATCATATATTTCCGCGATCATAAACTGCAATGCCAGGGCGTCAATGCGCGGGACATTTAATGACCGCGCATGATTGGTCGATTATATGCGCGGTGCTTTGTTTTGCAATGCGCGTCCAATCAGGCGCGGTCATATGGGGTCACGATCATAAATTTCGATATTGAAGATCGCGTATTAATCAATACAGAGGTATCGGGGATACAAACCCTTGTAGGGTAATGCGCCGGGTAAAACAAAACCAGAGAGAATCCCCTGGCGTGGCCACTCGAGTAATTATCACCAAATTTGGTGGCCACTCGAGTAATTCGAGGCCACGCGAGTAAGGATGAATCACCGATCCAGGTTCTACAGTAATTCTCTCAGCATTTGATCTTCACAACCCACCCGTGAGTGCGTGACCTGTTTCAGATTTCATTGTCATCCATTTCGCTCATTTCTAGTTTTGCTGGAGCTCCATAGTTAGCTAACCATTTTTGCAGATGCAGAAAGCCCATGATTCTCATTTTCGCTTTCACCGCTGACAGAAAGAGTAACCAGGTGTAGATCAAAAGCTTCGTTTCTCTCTTAAATCTCGCCATTTCTGGTATCATCAGTCTGCGGCGATGGCGGCGCATGCAGTGCGCTTGCCGAAGACAGGCATGTCGATGCCGCTTCGTTTAACGGCGTCCCCGGCTCGCCAAATCTCAAATATCTCCTTCAAGCGGGTTCCATTACGTCGAAGTACTTGCGATCATTCCATCTCTCGACAACTTTTCGTTCATAGTAGTCGGGAAAAACGGAATCGATGCAAGCTTGAGCTGAGCCAATGATGCAATCATGCCATCTTTGTGAAAGAGTGCACGAACTAATCGACGCTAACTCGTTCTTGCTTCACGCAGGCCGCATGGTCACTCGTGGCGCGTCCGAGCAAGAGAAGAAAGGTCAGTCATGCCCACACTAGTCGCAATGCCCGATAATGTCACACGTGCTTGTCTGCCACAAAATTGCCCAAGTGGCTTATCTCACTGCTTCCAGTCACCTCTCCACCGCCTCTCCTTCGTCCCTGCATCGCACGTCGCATCCCCCCTGTACTTGGCAGCGCTGGTCGTTTCCCCCAAGTACGCGCCCCCCGCGTTGACCGACAAGTGGCGCGCGGCATTCTCGAAGGCAACGCAGCGGTTGGTGGAGGTAGACGCGCGCGGGCAGCGGCAGGTGGTGCAGGCGGAGACGCAGAAGCAGCTGGCGGAAGACCGCGCGCGCGGGCGCTGGCAGGTCATGTGGGAGCGGACGCGCGAGTGGCTGGCGAAGGAGCGCGCGCGCGGGCAGGTAAAAGTGGCGCGGGCGCACGAGAAGGAAAAGGTGGCGGCGGAGAGAGCGGAAGGGCGGTGGGCGTTTGTGAAGGCGAAGGGGGAGCAGCGGATCACCGCGGCGAGGGTGCGCGGGATGTACGGCGTGGCGCGCGCGAGGGCGAACGAGCGGCTTACTCAAGTGAGGGCGCAGGGGCAGTGGCAGGTGGCGTGGGCCAACGCGCGAAAGAGACTTGCGCAGGCGGAAGGCACGGTCAAGGCGCGCAACGGTGTTGCGCAGGCGGAGGTGGACGCGCGCCTGGCGCAGGAGAAGGCTCGGGAGCGGTTGCAGGTGGCGAGCGCGCGTGAGCGGGCGCGGATGGCGGAGGAGCAGGCCAAGGGGCGCGTGATGCTGGCGAGCGCGCGGACGAACCGGCAGCTGGCGAAGGAGAGATTGCGCGGGCGCGTGAAGGTGGCGTGGGCAAAAGCCAAAGAGCGCATTGAGAAGGAGCGCGCCAAGGGGCGGTGGGCCGTGACGTGGGCCAAAGCGAACGAGGCGCTGGCGCGGGAAAGGTCGCGCGGCAGGTGGGACGTGCTGGTGGCGTCCTCGAGGCAGCGGCTGGCGGAGGTACGGGAGAAGGGGCGGCTTGATGTGGCGTGGAGTGGTTGGAAGTGGTTGGAGGAGCAGCAGTGGCCGAGAAGACAGAAGAGAATCGCCAGCCCTCTGTCGAAGTTGGGCAATGGCGCCAAGATCATCGACCTGTGATGCTGTGCGGTGCAATGCGGTGAAATGCGCTCAGATGTCCTGCTGAGGATGTATACGGTCTGGCTGGGGGTTTCTTCCTGCCAGTCTCTCGGGGTGGCAGCTGCTGTTTCCGCTGTGTAACTAGATGCTCTGCTATATCCATGGCAATCACTGAGTTGACTCATGAAGACTGTTTCCTGGAGTGGGTTCTGTGCTTCAACAACAATCGTAGCGACACGTTCATTTGATGAACCAGACTGCTGGACCTCACCAAGTGGCACCTTTGAGTGGTTCAGATCTCTGCTCCAGGGTTTAGAATTCAGGGTCTGCTGCCACATAACTACCTGTGCATGCAGTGGATGTCGCCCATAACCCTCCCTCTAGCCACTCCAAGACCTTCTTGCTCCACGGGCCTGCCACCACTTCCTGCACACACACGGGCACTTTACACCTTTTGTGGTGAAACATAGATAGTCAATGGGTATTGCTAATGAGTAGCTCTAATGAGTCCGCTGGGTTGGTTTGAATCACCACCACGACCTGGGAAATGCACGAAAGAGACCAGTGCGTTGGCTGTACCATTAAGGACAGACTCCTGTGATGTACTACTATGTAACATTGCAACAGTCTCCTACCTTGCCAGAGTTCCATCCATCTCTAGGAAATGCAGTCAGGCTGAAGAATGCAAGCGTCCCAAGTGATGCGGCAGAGCATTACTGATATTGCATCTGACCTCCAGAATGGGCCTGGAATGGTTCACATATAATGTGCTTGTTGCTGCACTTCATCTCAAAGCTAGGGCAATACCATCTGTCTCCGTGTACTGTAGAGAGATTTCATGTTTGATATTCTCGAAAGCCCTCGAAAATCTCCCTGAAGGCGGGAACTGCTGAACCAACTGTCCATTCACAGGCCTCGGGCGAGGAGCAGTTGATTCGACAAGATCGATGCCTGGCAGGCACGCGCGCAAATAGGCAATCCACGAATTCCTGATTGCGTGCTGGCAGCCGATCATGCTTCATGAAAAATGAGAAATCAGGTGCTTTATGTTCATGTCCTGTGATACTCTCAGAATCATAAACAGCTCTTAGTATATGCGTGGCTGTTGTTGATCATCCAGAGCTGGTTGTCATTCGAGATAGTCGTTTTCAGGACACGTCTTCGTCATAGCTAAGGAGATCGTTCTCGAATGAACGTACTCGCTTCCATATTCTCGTCGCGCTTCTTCCTCGACCGCCTTCGAAATTGATCATGGAACCCTTGATATCGCCGAGCCACGTCATTAGAACAGCCGGAGTCAGTCACTCACTGGTCCTCCCGCAAGCTTATCCAATTAGGGCAGCACGATCCTGTCCAGCACCCGTAGTGCGCATCACGGGAGCTGCTTGCAGTCCAGGAGGCCCACATCCGACCTCCACCTTCGGCCCACGCAATGCGCTCACACGTTATGTAGGACCGAGCACGTCGAGCCATGCAAGCTCTCGAACGGGCTTCGCAGCGACCTCGCGTGGTCTTCCCGTCGGCGTCGGCGGGAGGAGCCTTGGTGGCGTGGCGCGGGGTGGAAGCTGCAGAGGAAATGATCGTCGGATTCGGAGGGAAATTATTTGTGCAGCGGCGCAAGGGTCGGCGGTGGAGCAGCAGCAGGTTGACGGGGTGGTGCAGGACGGAGTGACGCGCACGAGCAGCAACGGCACAGCAGGAGCTACAGATGAAGAGATTCTGGTAACCAGCACTACCACGCGCTACCGTACTCAAGACTCTCCGAGTTTTTCTAGCGACGTGCCTCTCGACCTTCATCCACACGACTCAATGAATCCCGTTTCCTCCCTGCGTGCCGCTCTCATTCGTAGAGTTCCCTCGTGAAGGAAAAACCCGCTGTGCGCCTGCGCTATCGCTGTGCGTACAGGAAATGGCCCTGCTACCAGAGCAACGCTAGATGACCGCGCGTACAGTACGAGTAACTTCATATTCGATCCTTCCCGATCTGCAGGCGTCAATCCCCGCGCTCGGCGCGACGCTGGACGACCACGGGGGCTGCGTGTTCCGCGTGTGGGCTCCGCACCCTCAGCGCGCCACATTAGTCGTCAAGCGCCTCTCGCCCGCCCGCGCTGGCGCTGGTGGCGGTGACGCGGAAGGCGCGGCAGCAGAAGGCGAGAGGGTGGAGATGGGGCGCGACGGCAACGTGTGGTTCGCGCGAGTTGCGAACGTTGTTGCCGTGAGTGCCCCATGCTGCATGACGTGGACATGATGGTCATGATTGCGGCGGTATGGACGCGGCTAACGTTCCTTTTTGACTGTGAAGGACTGCAATCTCAGCACCCGCACGGAATTAACTTCCTTCCTCGTCAGCTACCGCGCTACTGCCTTTCTTCTGGCACTTTCCGTGCGCCTTGCCAGTGCCGTTATTCCACCCTTCGTGCTCCAGGGCGACAAGTATCACTTGGTGTTCGAGTGGGAGGGAAAGATCCTGGAGAGGCGGGACGCGAGGGCGCGCGCGACGGACTACGAGAGCAACGACTGCATCGTGGTGGACCCGCGCTTCTCCTGGACCCCCTTTGAACCGCCCCCGTTCGAGGCCCTCAATATTTATCAGCTGCACGTTGGCGCTTTCACCGGGTGAGGCATGGGTGGAAGGATAGATGATGGATGTCTGTATGGGCGTATGGTGGATGGATGAATCATGGATGTACGTATGGATGTCTTGATGGTCGTTGTGATGTTATGAGATAGACGCCTGTATGTGGCCGAGCAATGGCGATTCTGTTCGTCCACTGAACCTGCGCGCGCACATTGAATCAGCCATGACACCGTGCGTGTGTAACACTATGTGCCCCACGCCCCGTGCTCCGTGCCTGACATGTGCAGGCGTCTGCCGGGTGGCGGCACGTTCGCTGCGCTCAAGGAGAAGCTGCCGTACATCAAGAGCCTTGGGTTCAACGCCGTTCAGGTCAGCTGTTGCTCAGGGCATGCGAGGCAGTGGGTGGTGGGCAGCAGGGGTGGTGGGCAGCAGGGGTGGTGGGCAGCAGGGGATGATAGGACGTGCGGAGCCTGACTGGATGCTGAGGTTGTATATCGAAGGACAATACTTGTACCCGCTGTGCGTGTGTGGTGCGTGCAGATGCTGCCAGTGCACGAGTACTGCGGGCAGTGGGGCTACAACCCCCGCCTGCTCTTCGCCCCCCACCCCTTCTACGGCTCCCCCCTGGAGCTCCGAGAGCTGGTTGACGCCGCCCATTCCCAAGGTGAGGCTCGCTGGTGCATGGTGCATGCTGGCTGTCATGGTGCGGACTGCCGTGCTGCATGGTGACCTCCCTGGTGCATGGTGACCTCCCTGGTGCATGGTGACCTCCCTGGTGCATGGTGACCTCCCAGCATGGTGACCTCCCTGGTGCATGGTGACCTCCCTGGTGCATGGTGACCTCCCTGGTGCATGGTGACCTCCCTGGTGCATGGTGACCTCCCTGGTGCATGGTGACCTCCCTGGTGCATGGTGACCTCCCTGGTGCATGGTGACCCCCTGGTGCATGGTGACCTCCCTGGTGCATGGTGACCTCCCTGGTGCATGGTGACCTCCCTGGTGCATGGTGACCTCCCTGGTGCATGGTGACCTCCCTGGTGCATGGTGACCTCCCTGGTGCATGGTGACCTCCCTGGTGCATGGTGACCTCCCTGGTGCATGGTGACCTCCCTGGTGCGTGGTGACTGGCATTGTGGATGGTGCATGGTGAATGGCATGGGGAGATTGAGAGGCTGCAGCTGGGTAGCAAGATCACCATACCTCAGCCACCATATGCCACATGCTGTGCCACTCCTGTACCTCCTCGCACCATGCCATGCCAACCATACGATCATCCCATGGCGCCTCATCCCATGTGCCATGTGGCATGTGCTATGCGGCGTGTGCAGGCATGGCGGTCATCTTCGACGTGGTGCTGCACCATCTGGCGCCCAACCTCAACAGGTGCGCTGCATGGGCCACGTGCCTACCCTGGATGGGGTGTTTTGGATGCTGGATGCTGGAAGCTGGATGGTGGATGGGGGAGGCTGGATGGTGGATGGGGGAGGCTGGATGGTGGATGGGGGAGGCTGGATTGTGGCTGGTGGACTGTGGGCGAATACGTTTTCCACGTTTCACAGTTTTCTCAATTTTGAAAGGGACGAGGGTTCACGTTTCCCGGTGCTGACAGCCCTTGCTGGAACATTCTCCGGTTTAGGTTTTACTAGAAGTACTAACCCATGTGAATCTCCTGTTCCCTTAGTTGCTCTCTCTTAACTCGCCTTTGTGCGTGCGTGTGTGCCTGTCCTC